AAGTCTAGTATGCATAATCTTTTAATAACTCAATGAATACCTGTTCAGTCATGGCATCCAATTCTTTCCTGCGTTCTAGAAGCCCAGCGGTCACATCATGAAGTTCCATGCGTCGACTTCGTAGGATACTTTCGATGTGCGCAAGCTCCCTAGCTTTATTGTCCTGCTCTGGTTCAGGAAGGCCTGGAGACAGGCTTTGAWAGGAAGCGTCTAGTGCTATTGCAGAGCTGRCAAMGGAAGAGRAAAAAATGCCTGAGTTGGCTTATTTTCTCAGACGGAAAAAAGGTATGTTTTCCAGGAAATATGTGGCCAAAAATCCAGGAAAAAAGCGATAGTCAGTTACAACTTTGATTTTTAGAATCATCTGCCATTATACTCAATAACTAACTTGCATATCGAGATATTTCAGTAAAAGGATTTCCGCAACCTGTACGTATCGAAATTCTTGAACAGGTTACGTAGTTACCTTTGCTGAAGATATTGCTGTGGTATGGAATGGCTGGGTGGGGACTGGTACTCAGTTTGTGTCTGCACGTCTCGGTCACTAAGTGTCTGCAAAGAATGATAGATTTTAACCATTTACGTTTCTACAATTGTTATAACAGCTATGAAGTATTGTACTCGAAGCTACCTCTATATCACGGACAGAAAAAACAGCTTAAAACGCATAAATAAAAAAGGTACGGGATATAGAGATTCAAGTTATATTGTGGGAAATATCCATGATATATTTTAGAAAGAATTCAGTCAATTTAAATAGTGTCTTACCTATTCTAGAGTAACCCAGTCAACTCCTATGCCRTCTTGGTCAYGTGCACAATTCCGAGAACAACGCATGCGCAAATCAAATACCGCTGACAACATTTTGGTTTGTAAAATGTTTATTGTATAATTTTTCGCACACACAGAGTTACAGCAAAGCTACTTGARTTAAGGTCATAGAAGCTGACTGCTTTACAATTAACATACAACCTCCTAGCATTGAAAAATAACTCTTATTCTTAGGAGGTAGTTTAGGAGAAACCTGCTACTGAACTGTTGTCACAGTTCCAGGTTCCCTGCGCCATCTTGAAAGGTATCCAAGCCTTTGCATTAGAGCTAGCGAGAAAAAGCTTGACCTTACAGTACTGATAGATACATGCAATAATTAGTCTTATGTGTTTAGAAAGGTATCGTTACTGCATGTAAAGGCTCGTCTATCTTTCAAGATGGCGCTGGKAAATGTACACTACAACTTTTTCCAACCAATTCGAAAGTCCAGGGTGAAGAGATTTTTGATCATTAAAGTTTTACGCATCTACTCGCCGCCATGTTAGATAAATGAGAAAAAGACTCAATTATCACAATGCTTGCCTTCCAACATGGTGGCTTTGATGTTACGTGCTACCACGCAACTCAAAAACCTCACTCCCCAGTGATTTGAATTGGGTTCTAAATATGTGAAACGTTAGTTCAATATGTTCTATAAAATCCCACAGTTGCAGTTATTTCACTATTTCGAATTCCTTTGAACTGCGCCCGAAACGTCGAAATATAAGTACTGGATTATACTTAAGAAATTCGTTAAATACTCGGACAATCTCCGTCATTGATCGGACTTGTTTCGTGGGATTTCGAAATTAATAGCTGTTGGTTAAGATATTATCGTATTATTTCACGTTAAATATATTACATAAATTTCAATATATCCTTTTCAAGTTTTTAAAATATAAAAATAGTAAATACGAAAAGATATAAAAATGACCACGCTAGCATAAACATGATTTAACTTTATGAAAATAAAATATTCTTTTGTTTTTACTAAAACACCAAAATAGTAAACGCACTTTAGTGGCTGATTTGGGTTTGATAATGTTAGAGTTTAATCTGTCTGTCTTCCTAACTTAAAAAATTGGCCAAGCAACCTAGAACAAAGCAATTTCACTGGCTAGCAACAATTAGCATGTTTTGGCCTCAATTCCATGCTCGTTCCAGGTTCCTTGYACCGAGTTATGAAAACGGTCTATTAATCACGAAGATGAGACTTATGATCGATTATGGTCAACAGATGATCCTGAAATTTCTGAACAAAAGAAAATAAAAGGATTAGGATAGGCTTCCTAAAGGTATTTATTTTTGTTTATCATTGTTAGATTGTTCTACTGGATTGGTATTCCTGTGGTRTACTRAMGAATTACACAGGGATCCCYGTGGTGATTTACGATGATGSGGAGTTKAACACTTACCGCKAGAGTAGCRTCGAGAGAATGTTGTTGGCTTCGTTTCGCAGCTGCACGGCTYCGCAAAGCTCCCTGGACCTGGAATTRAAAGAAATACTACGTCAACCGGTTATCATAGGCACTCGGCTATGGCACGCGATATGACTGAATATCATTATCATAGTTAAGTAATATGTTAAAAGTGGATATAGACGGCCTTGAGAACATTTATCGGGATAAAACTTAAGAGAATACGGATGACATAGGATAATAAGTCTTAAATACGACATGGAAAGAGATATTGGTATCCGATATAAATAATCTCGTAGTATAAACATAAAAAATGTATCTAAAACGGTTCTGTGACTTCGTACCATTCAAAAGCCTTCAGAAAAATGGTGTTTACTAGTTAATTGGGACATGATTGAAGTCGAAAAGGAGAAATCTCCACAAATACTGGCAATACTGTCTTTGCCCGGGATATTGTTTCAGTTTTGGCGGGAATGAACTTAACTGACCTTTGGGGCGTAAACATGAAATACAATTATCGTCAAACGAGCTCAAAATATGTTTCAATACCACAGCAGTACATATTAATGCTTAATTTGGTAATAAGCAAGTCTTTTTTAAGTTGAATTGAGGCACTGAAGCGAATACATCTCGTAAACAAATGGATGATGTTGAAGAAAGCTGAACAACCACTCGAACCATGGCATTTGCAAAGATACGAGCTGTATATTAAAAGATAATAAGCTGCTTTACATGAGAGCTTATAACCTCCTTTTTATCGTTTCTTTGTAAATATTAAAAACAGTTCCGAGTCGAAAAAGTTGGTAGATCACTACGATAATTTAGAGGGCTGATATGGTGTCATGTAAGCCACCTCGTGCACATTGATGACTGGGTTAGAGTAACTTCACTTACACCAATTGTTTCTCTGATATTAAACACACGCAATCTCACTCAAATCAAATGCGGCGGGATTACATGTCAGCATTGTGAACTTACCTCGTCCTCTAGCTGCTGTAGATCACTACGAAGGGAGTCTTGCTGATCCTACAACAAATTAAATCACATTAAAACAACAAAACCATCTAACTAACCTAATTACATAGTAACTAACCTTACAAACAGGGACATGGGACGTTGAATGATGAAATTTGACAGCGTGTTTGGACATAATCATACGAATAACTCTCTAACTATTACACTACACTAGAACRAGCCTACATGCTTAGCTACTCAGGTAGTCACGATAAGAATCAGCAGCGAAAGAGCACTTAAAAGTTAATGAAGGTCAGAATTCAAATTACACTTGAGTAAACAAACCCATGGAGTTTTTAACAGCAAATATGTCAACATTGTGGACGGTCCAATAGCAGTGTTTGCATAATATGTAAAGCTATGTTTTGTTGTAAGTTATGGTTGACAAGACAAGAAGAATAGCATGGTATGTTTAATGAGTTTGGATAATTGAATATCTTTGCGTTTTGGTAATTGAATATCTCCGTTGGTAACGTATACCTTTACAGAAATGTGAAACTGCACAAAGTGAAACTGCACAAAACTACACTAAAGAAGAAAAACAGAACGCATACAAGGGAACTTTTCTTTTGGTTTGGTATCCCTGCGTTCAATATACATCTGGTTTTTTTCTACCCTCCCCTCACAAAAAAGCTTACAGTTTTCTATGAAAGTTTTGTCGCTTTCCCCCACCCCGAGAGTACCTCACCCCTCCCCCCGTTACCTGGATATTTTGTTGTTTACTTGACGTAAGCATGCCTTCAAGAAGCCCAACTTCGTATTCCTATAGAGACAAATGGTGAATATCATCAACAAAAACNAGAGCTTATAACCTCCTTTGTCTCGATTTGTTTTGTAAATAATATCAGATCCCAGTCGGAGAAGTTGGTAGATCACCGGGCTAATTTAGAGAGCCTATAGTATCATGTAAACCGCCTCGTGCACATTGATGGCAGGGTTAGAGTGACTTCGCTTACACCAATTGTTTCTTTGATATTAAACACACGCAATCTCACTCAAACCAAATGCGGCGGGATTACATGTCAGCATTGTGAACTTACCTCGTCCTCTAGCTGCTGTAGATCACTGCGAAGGGAGTCTTGCTGATCCTACAACAAATTAAATTACATTAAAACAAAACCATCTAACTAACCTAATTACATAGTAACTAACCTTACGAACAGGGACATGGGACGTTGAATGATGAAATTTGACAGCGTGTTTGGACATAATCATACGAATAACTCTCTAACTATTACACTACACTAGAACGAGCCTACATGCTTAGCTACTCAGGTAGTCACGATAAGAATCAGCAGCGAAAGAGCACTTAAAAGTTAATGAAGGTCAGAATTCAAATTACACTTGAGTCAACAAAACCATGGAGTTTTTAACAGCAAATATGTCAACATTGTGGACGGTCCAATAGCAGTGTTTGCATAATATGTAAAGCTATGTTTTGTTGTAGGTTATGGTTGACAAGACAAGAAGAATAGCCTGGTATGTTTAATGAGTTTGGATAATTGAATAATTTTGCGTTTTGGTAATTGAATATCTCCGTTGGTAACGTATACCTTTACAGAAATGTGAAACTGCACAAAGTGAAACTGAACAAAACTACACTAAAGAAGAAAAACAGAACGCATACAAGGGAACTTTTCTTTTGGTTTAGGATCCCTGCGTTTAATATACACCTGGGTTTTCTACCCTCTCCTCACAAAAAAGCTTACAGTTTTCTTTGAAAGTTTTGTCGCTTTCCCCCACCCGGAGAGTACCTCACCCCTCCCCCCGTTACCTGGATATTTTGTTGTTTACTTGACGTAAGCATGCCTTCAAGAAGCCCAACTTCGTATTCCTATAGAGACAAATGGTGAATATCATCAACAAAAACCTAAAAACCGATGATAACCCGAATGGAATCCGAGAATTATACGAACATAGTTCAATGTTAAACAAAATTAGCATGAAAATTCTAGACTTGCCACAATTCGGAATATCTTTTCTGTCTTTTAACTTGTGGAAGTCTAAAAAATCGAATAAGAATCGCAGAATAACCAAATGAAGGTCCGACGCAAGTTGACAACGAAAATAGTCCGAGTGAAGTACGAAAATAGACCGAGTGAAGTACGAAAATAGCCCGAGTGAAGAACGAATGGAACGAGCGCATCACGGACACAGTGAAGAGGAACACCTACCAAGTCTCCATGCTCTGGAACGTTGCAAAATAAATCATCAATTGCTTTCTCTTTCTTTCGTCGTCGTTTTGACTTGCTATCTTGTAGGCTATCATAGTGATGATGATGAACAGACGCTCCGTACGACGTGGGATCGACAGCCGTGGAAGCTAAAACAGTAGGACTAATTGGAAGTCCTTTGGGTGATGTAGACGCTCTTGATCGAGTACCTGCAAAAGAAATTGATCAATTTGTTCTTGTTACCGCAATACATAACTATTACTATCTACTATGCTAAGTTGCTCATTTTTGTGTCATAAAAAGTTTATTTATGTGTACCTTTCTGTGATGTCYGAAAGTGATGATGATGATGTACTTCACCGTCCGTCAAACCATTMGTAAATGCAACCGGTGARCCAGTCGTTACTACAGGAGGACCAGTCACTCTCGTYACGCGRACAGGACTTACGTGATGCGCTARGGCGTYAATTTCACGCTCTCTGTCACGCAACGCTGCACGTAACGCTTCTATTTCATCTGCCAAGGAATGGAAGGACGGTACTGAAAATAATGAGTAAAAGTAATAACTTTGCTTCAAAGGTTTTTATGTAATATATACAGTTAGAAATCGTATTCAATAGTGATACATTAGGGAGGGGAGGGAAGGGGAACATTTTGTCTTACCATTGATAGGTACGGTTGTGTACTCGCCCCAAGTTCTTTTCAGTCCATTCAGKTCAGCTTTAAGTCTCTCCAGGTCAGCGTTCTGCTCGTTTAAAGCTGACGCCAGGTTGCTTATTTCGTCTCTTTGGGAAGCTGTGTATAATTAGATAATGAAATTATATGGTTAATCATTGTAAGCGTAGCGGACCGAAGGRAACTGGGGACCTCTCAGGGTCCTTCCCAATCCTCTTAGAGCCCCCACACGGGATACTGTAAGATAGAAACCTTAGTGATGTTTCAGATGTTGGTATTTCGTCGGAAGGGAGACACGGACAAACATCCGCACATAACAATATTTCTCCTTACCAAGCAGGGGACTATCTCTCTGTCTAAGCTTGGCTTGTTCCTGGAGCTGTTTATCTTTTTCTGCAAGATATGCTTGTAGCCTTGCAATCTAACAAAACAAGCTTTAGTAAAMGACTTGGTAATATGCAAACGTTACAGTTTCACGTATTAATTACTATCCCTTACCTGTTGTTGAGCATCCGCAAGATCCTTGGCCGCGGCAGCCTGGGCAGCCATTCGTCTTTGCTCAGCTCGCAAAGCCTCAAGGTCTTTTTCATATTTGTCCTGAACGAYAAACAAATGGAGCATGAGCCAAAGCCCGCAACTGAGAACCCCTTGAGCATGGGTTTCTGATGAGGCTAGAGCGGACTTCGTATGAGTGGGAAAAGGACGGTACTGTACTCTGACCGTAACCAAATTCTAGTGCCCCATTGGTTTACCAAAATTGAGAAGGCCAGGTCCGGTAACAGTGCGGTAACCGTGCGGTAACGGTGTCCCACTCATACGAAATCCGCTCTAAAGACTTACCGTGGCTGATTTCTTGTCTGCATCGCTGAGCATTTTACGTAATTCATCGATCTGGTTTTGAAGACTTTGTTGTTGGAGTTGGTGAGCTGCATCACGATGAGCAGCGTCTTGTAGCGTTTTGTTTTGTTCGTTTAGAAGAGTCTGTAACGCAGCGTTGCGATGATCAGCTTTCCTAAGCTTAAACGTATAGTAGAAAAACCGTAAATTATCATCATCATCATCTAAACCATCATTATCATCATCATCATCATCATCATCATCATCTATAAACCATCATTATCATTATCATCATCATCATCATCTAAACCATCATTATCATCATCATCATCATCATCATCATCATCTATAAACCATCATTATCATCATCATCATCATCCGCCAAAATTAACTTGTCTGTCAATTATGATAAGTGAAAACTAGCCTAGAGTGAACACTGAGCGGTTCAAGCAGTATTTTTCCAACAGGCTCTCTTTCCTATATAACTTATGTGATATTTAATTATTTACTGTATTTTTCTATCTATTCTCATGWAACTTTGTGGTWTGTAACCTWTACCAATTGAATTAAAGACACATTATCATTATTAAACTGTGAACTTCAGTTATATCACTCTCCAACTGAATGTGAAAATTAGTAACAACAACAACTTTTTCTGCCAAGTTTTCGCTTTATTACAAGAGTACTATCTCATCATTGGCGTACCTGGTCATCATTTATTAACTGAGCCTTTTGTAGTTGGTCTCTAAGGGCTGCTATTTCGTCTTGTAACTGCTTGGCACGGAGTGCTTCAAGATTTCTGATTTTATCAGCCTTGTGAGACAGAAAGACAAATCRTATGAGGCTATTATTTCATTCAGGTCTCGTTTTCTTCTTCTTCAAGGACACAATATTTATAAGATATAATAAAACACATCTTACTTCGTCCTTTGCTCTTTGTCTCATCTTAGCAAGTTGTCCACGAAGTCGTTCTAGTTCATCTTCAAGTCCCTGGACCGTGTCGGCGTTGGCTTTGCGCTCTCTATCCARCTAAAGTAAAATAAACCGACTTTAGATATCTTGGTTGACCACCACGCACAAAAATATCAAAGATGAGGCTGTTGGGAAGCTATAGATAATAATTTTACTTCCCCGTAGCTTCATCCGCAATTCTTTTGAGCATGAACATTCAACTCAGACATCGAAAATGGGCTAKTTGGATAGAAGATTGTCCTGCCGGACTATGATAGGGGAATCAAACACAAGTGCCTTTCCCATTCGACTAAGGATGGCCGCATGCGGTTTAAAGAAATGGATGATCATGATAATGATACTGATGAAGATGACAGCTGYAACGGAAAACTCCAACCTACATCTTTATCAGCATCGCTCGCCATTCGTCTAATTCTGTCATTAGCTCGTCCTAGTTCATCTTCTAAGGCTTGGATTTTTGCTCTATACATGASCTTGTCGTTGTCCTTTTCGTCCTCCTGTCAAATAAATACATTTTAAYTATAACTACGAGTAATCAATTAATTAAATTAACTGTGTGATCTCTAAGGCCTCCATTTAAACGTCGTATCTCACATGTACTGACTTATATGCAAATTTCTACCTATTGCTTCTGCTGATTATAACATTGAGATTTAATTCAGCACATGTGAACTTCGACGTGAGGATTTTTAAGTTCTTACCGCTCGTTGCGCACGCACATAAGCATCTTCTAGTTCATCAGCTAAAGCTGCTAACTTGCTCTCCAATTCCCTCTTAGATGCAGCGTGATCGCCGTGCAATGCTTTCAACTAAAACAAGAAAAACGTTACGAAATATAATGATAATAGTAACAAATTTGACATTTGAGTATTTTTAGATAGTCTAGTTGTTACTCTATCAGCTTCAGCCTTTGCTTTAGCGAGTCTACTATGAAGCTCATCTAGACGATCTTCTAAGCTCTTTATTTTATCTTCTAAGGGCGCACGAGYGTTAGCAACCTAAAATAACAAAAATACAACTTTACACCAATACATATCCTCTATTGTCAATGACAATTGTCTTAGCTGGCACATCTTTAATCAATAAATATCGGATAAAAAGCAATAATATTTAGTCTTCAACGACAACGTTAAGAAAAGAAATAGAAAGATATGTCAAATCTGTGTTGTACTTTCAAGGCCTTTCAAATGTCAAAAATATTTACAAACGTTTGAAAAGTGTGATAAAACTGATGTTATTGCTGACAAAGTGTCGTCTTTAATTTGACAACCTTTTCTAAATAAGGTGCATAAATAACATTTATAAACTGCATTCAAAATTAAATATCCCAATAGGAAAATAAATAACAACTTTATCACAACTCAGACAAGTTTCTARCAAGTCATACCTCTCTCTCCATGGCGTTTTTAAGTTGTTTTATTTTGTCTTTAAGTTTCGCTATTTCATTTTTGAGTACTTTTATCTCACCGTCGTGTGCGTTTTGTAGTCTTGAAAGCTAAATAACAAAGGATCCTATCAATAATTGGTTTCTTATTGAGGTGCGTGTTTACCAACGGGTGACCAGAGTCATCAAAGTGCACTTAGGTGTTGATAGCAGGCACACAACAGGTAGCCCAAGCAAAGGAAACAAAGTGCACCACAGGTAGTCCGAGTAGGGGAAAACTAGTTCCACAGGTAGCCCTAATATATGAGAATTACAACAGGTAGCGCTCACCTCTTTCTCTAGGTTTCCTTGCCTCGCTAATGCATCCTTTAATTGACGTAAATCGTCTTGTAATTTTTCAATAAGCTCTTCTTTCTCTTGATTCTCATCTTCAAGCTTTTAAAAATTAATTTTACATTATTTCTTACATGAAAAGTGTCACCGCCCAACTAGCCAATGACGGTGTGCGTTTTATCGCTGCTGCATTATATAAGTCGTTACCTGATTGGCTCTATCATCAGCCTGCTTCAGTGCGTTCTGTAAATTCTCGATTCTTGCGTTTAGACCTTTGATTTTATCATCAACCTAACATGAAAAGATTCACCTCAACAAATCAATGACTACGCTGCTTCGTAAGCCTGCATCTTTACTCCTCGGGCTTCATGCGTCGCCTCATTCTCCCGACTAGTCATTTTTCAACACAGGAAAGCCAAGAACTGATAGAATCGTCAGAGAATGCTACTATTCCCGTATCCATACCTTGTTTTTATCTATTTTGTCACCCTGTCGTTCATTTTTCAATGCTTCAAGAAGTTCCAAGTAACGWTGATGAAGGTCCGCCAAAGCCTTGCCTAATTCATCCCCATGCCCAAACGGTTCACGCGCACTTGGTCTCTTGGTAT